ACTCACAGAGCTGTGCAGGCTCCTGTGAGTCTGTGCCTAGCAGGGGGGGTTCCCTCTTCAGGCAGCAGGACCAGCTCCAACAGGAGGCGGCACTGCAGGAGCTGAGGAGGCTCCTGGCCACCAAGCAGGAGGCCCTGAGGCAGGAGCAGGAGGCCAAGGCCCTGGCCGCACAGGAGAACGAGGCTGCGGCAGGAGGCACACAGGTAACCGCCTCTGTGCCTGCAGGGCAGCTGATGAATGGGAGGGTTCAGGGTCAGCCCAATTTTTAAAAGTGTTATTTTTTTTTAAATATACTTTATTGATGATGTGAGCTCCTGAGTCATAGGTCAACACCCAATCACTGAGCCTCGCTCATCAGGGTCAGCCCAATTTTTAAAAGTGTTATTTTTTTTTAAATATACTTTATTGATTTTTTACAGAGAGGAAGGGAGAGGGATAGAGAGTTAGAAACATCCACGAGAGAGAAACATCGATCAGCTGCCTCCTGCACACCCCCTACGGGGGATGTGCCCGCAACCAAGGTACATGCCCTTGACCGGAATCGAACCTGGGACCCTCAGACCGCAGGCTGACACTCTATCCGCTGAGCCAAACCGGTTAGGCCAAAGTGTTTTCTTTTTAAAGCGAAGGCTGCACAGATACTCTTTGAATGAGCACAGGTTGTGACTAAGTGGAGTTGACGAGTTCGCTCGCTCAGCTGCAGCTCAGACCAGCTATTCTGAGCCAAGGTAGGGAGATGGGGCAGGTATGGTCTCCCAGGGACACTGGCTATCTTGTTGAAAACAGGACTGGGGGGAGGAGAAGAGCCAGGTGGTCATGCTGAGGTGAGTGCCAGCCACAGGCGGGGTGACTGGTGGGCTCCCCAGGGCTCCTGTGCCCCTTCCCTGTGGCCCCTCGTGTTTCCCTTGGACCCTCTGCTTCACAGGGATTGGAAGGGACCCTGGGGACACATTGGGGAGAGGAGGGTTTGGAGGAGACCCCAGCCCATCCCCGCCTCCCTCAGCTCTGCAGAGAATAGCCACTCACAGAGGCTGTGCAGGCTCCTGTGAGTCTGTGCCCTAGTGGGTGGGTTTCCCTCTTCAGGCAGCAGGACCAGCTCCAACAGGAGGCGGCGCTGCAGGAGCTGAGGAGGCTCCTGACCATCAATGCCGAGCCACACATGCTGGGAGCAGAGCAAGGTCAGTGGTCAGGGGCCCAGCGGAGAACGAGGCTGCGGCAGGAGGCACACAGGTAACCGCCTCTGTGCCTGCAGGGCAGCTGATGAGTGGGAGGGGTCACATTGTTAAATCCTCAGAACCTGCAGCATGTGTTGCAGTGCAGGCGCGTCTCAGCTCAGACTGGCTGCGTGTTCAGTGCTCAGTGGCCACACGTGGCAGTGGCTTCCCGATTGGAAATTGCACTTGGCCAACCCCATGTCATGGGCCGTGTTGGCCTGTTCAACGGGTGTGATCACACCGAAATGGCATCTCTGTGACGTGGCCTTTTTCTCCTTTTGGGAGCAGATTCCCAGCAGTGGAGTCACAGGGACTTGTAGTGTGGGATACGTTCCTGATCTGGGTTTTGGGTGCTCCCCTGCGAGAGGAAGACTTGGTAAGAGGAAAAAGGTCAGGGGGAGGAAGAGAAACGTCACTTCAGGAGCCAGATCAAGATGTTGGCCGAGCAGAACCAGAGCCTTCTAGGAGACAGTGCGGAGAACAAGGCTCAGTGCATGTAAGGGTCGGGACTCACCCACACCTGTCCACACAGGGCTCCTGGCGTCCAGCTCCATGCACAGGCCTCCACAGTCTGGGCAGAGAGCCCCCTGGCGCCCTGCAGTCCCAAGGGCAGGGATAGACCATCATCGCAGAGCATCCTTCTGTTTCCTGGAATGGGTCTTGCTTTCTGCAAGGAAGGCTGTTTGGCTTTTCTTGGCTTTTCAAAGACACTGCCCATTGCCAGGCAATTCTCAATCTATTTTGCAATTAATTTCAATTTAAAAATATGACAGGGGCACCAAGGGAAGGAATCCACCTCACAGGCTGAGCCCTTCCTGTGCCTGGTTTCCCCTTGATGGGCTGGAGGGGAGTTGTGGGTTCGCCGTGGTTGTCCTCCCTCTGCCAACAGGACACGGACCTGGCTGTGGTGTAGGCCCTGTGAGGCCCACGGAGCCAGTGACCCGATGGCCAGGAACCAGGAGGCATGATGGGCTGTGAGCAGAGCTGTGTGCACACCAGATCGGTGTTGAGGAGCTTCATGATGGAGGCGGAGAAGGCAGCAGGCTGGTGGGAGTTGGAATTCTGCTGCTGACCTGGATGGGGACAAGGCTGTCCAGGGGACAAGGCTGTCCAGCGGGGCAGGAGGTGGGGGAGGTGAAATTGGAGCGTGGTGTGGTCTGTGTGCAGGGAAGTACAGGCAGTGGCAGAAGGGACGGCAGGGGCAGGCGGCGCTCAGCTGTGGAAGGCATCCGTGCCCCATTAATGATTGGGATTCACTGGGAGTGAGTGTTTAAGAGATGCTGGCCAGCAAGTCTGAGGGAGCTGCCAGAGATGAAGCAGGAGGAAGAGGCTGGGTGCTGGACACCTTGTGGTTTGGACGTCAAGTAACGCGAATGCATCTGGTGGGTCCAGGGTGGTCTTCACCCCTCGGTGCTGTGCTGCTGGAGTGTCCTTGCTTGTGATCGGAAACGGATGGCCATGAAGGACAAAGACATGGTCACAGTGACCACAGGGGCACTGGCCCAGCCCCCAAGGTCATGGTGCTGCTTCACTGTTCTCCAACGTTGTATACAAAGGGCACACCACCTACCAAGGATGGTTTACACGGACAACCACACTCTAGTTTTAGAGTATAAATGACTGTGGCCTGAAATGGGCTCTCTATAATGCAGCTGGTAAAAATGACCAACAGAGGGCAGGCAGGTGCTAACTAGAAGAGCAGTGCCCGGTACCCAGGAGGAAGATCTGATGATGGTTCTGCATTAGACAGTGTCTGCAGGAGGCCAGGGAGTTGGCAGCCTTCCTAGCGGAATCTTCCGCAGCCCGGGGAAGGTTGCGGGGCCTGCCCTCCGTGAGTTTGTGTGCCTAGGGGTGGGGGCTCGGTCCAACTCAAACAGGAAACTGCTCTAGCAGAAGGCCCAGCAGCAGGGCTGTGGGAAGAGGAGAACACAGACTAGAAGAACAGATGCCGAGCCACAGATGCTGGGAGCAGAGCAAGGTCAGTGGTCAGGGGCCCAGCGGTCTGTGAGCCATCACTGTTCACGGGCTGCTCACTTCATGGTGACTCTCAGAAGAGCCCTCTGGGGCCTCATCAGCTTCACGGCCGAAGGAGCCTGAGCAGCTGCCCCAATCCAGCAGAATCATTTTCAAGCAAGAAAACGAGGGTCGGACCTGTCAAGGCCCAGGCATTTCTGAGCTGAGGTTCAGATGGTTCAAGGTTTGCTCTCCTGAGATGATGTACAGCCTCACCCTCAATGCTTCAGCAGATGTTGACGACTTTTAGGGTTCCCAGACCCACGTCATGTGCTTCCATTCCCACAGTCCCAGCTCCATGTTCATAACGGTCATGAGCACCGTGATGTCTGAGTCCCAGAAATGCTAGCCTTTCTCAGCCTGGTCCCAGCCTGGGCCATTGAGTCAATGTACATGTTTAATTTTAAAAACAAGACTTTTTTCTTTCGCCTGTTTATAGCAACAAGTCCAATGCCTCACCAACAACAAAGGAAGAAGAGAACACAATTACGGATCCACAGAAGTCCCAGGATCCTGTTCCCAAGAATTGAGTTGATTCAAGCAGCAGTAACTTAAACACAGAACAGGAAGCTTGCATCTTCACGAGTGGGGAAAGCTGTAGCATCTAGAGCAGTGAGCAGTTTGTTGGGCCTGCATCTTCTACTGATGGCAGGTCCCTCCCAGCACTGAGCCAATTCAGAGTTTCTTTCCGTCCTGCTCTCAGGGTTCTCCTGTGAGGGATGGTGAATGCCAGCTGGCCATGAGCCTGTTTAAGGGGACAGAGAGTCTGTGGTTTAGAGCCACTAAAGCAGGAGTATCAGGTTTTGTCTCAAGGTTTCAGGACCTAGAAAACCATGTGTGTGTTTGGGAAGGAAGCTTGAGCCAGACACCTGGACCAGCACTCATAGTCTTCAATTAGAGGGACCTCTTGGTCTTCCATATATTCTTCTGGAGTCACTGGACCCCAGGGTGGTTCACAAACGCATTCCCTTCCCCAGAGATCAGCAGCCCCGGTGGTGTGCCGGCTCGGTCCCCAAGGCTTCCGGCCTCTGTCCTGCAGGGCTACCCCTAGGCTGGGGCCTGAGCCCCCGGTGCTGGGCCTTCACATTTTCCTGTCCCAGCCCAGCCCTGAGGTCAAATCACCATGAGTCCTGCAAGGCCTCTCTGCTGAAATCACAGAAGCACAGAATTTTCTCTCCTACATCTGTCCCTTCTGTTACCAGGGACATTGAGGCATCGGTGAGGAAATGAAGTAAGTTGAGTAAGCACAGTGCTGCTTTGCAGCAGAGCGAGAAATAGAACCCAGATGAGGTCCTTCTTGTGACATTGGAAAGCCGCCATTTCCGGTTAGCTGCAATGCAACCTTTACATTCACTGTTTCCATTTACTTATTTTTACTTTCTTTAAAGTTCACACGAGATTATTTTTTGTGATATATAGAATTCTCCTCACGTGCTAAGTAAAGCAATGGCACCAGGTGCCACTACATTCATTAACTGGAGTCAGAGCGTAAATGGCTCACTGAGTCCTGATTCTGGTTTTGCCGAGCGCAATGTTTCCATCACTGCTGAGCTGGAGAGGATTCGCATTTTCCAAGTACGTTTAGGAACTGTGGTTCCATTTGTTGTCGTGTGGGTTTCCTTCCTTCCTCTCCTGGGTTATCCGGGAATAACAATTTAGCAACTGGGTGCAAAGGGAGTCACTTTTGGAGAAGCAAAAGCAAGGACAAGTCTCCTGTAGGCTGCCCAGCTCTGTCTAAACGTCTAAGATTCTGGTCTTTTCATCCCCCGCCGGGACCACAGTTCTGCGCTGCGCCTGGCCTTGGCCGGCGCCTAGCAGCCGACTTAAAACTGGTGCGGACCAGGGGAATCCGACTGTTTTAATTAAAACAAAGCATCACGAAGGCCCGCGGCAGGTGTTGACGCAATGTAATTTCTGCCCAGTGCTCTGAAAAAAAAAAAAAAGAAAAGATTCTGGTCTTCCGCTGACATGCCACCCTCTCCTAACTAGCCTCTCAGTTTTTTCGACCCTACGGATTTCCGAACCTTTCCATTTATTAGCGTCTTCACCATATAACCACCTTCATTTCTGAAATTAAACAAAAAAGCAAGCACAAAAAAAACCAGTTCGCAAAAACCCTCACAAATAATACTCCCGTACCTAAAGGCCAGATGACACAGAGTGGATGACTCCTGCTGACCCCAAGCTGAAGTAGCCATGGTGGGCTCTGATTTCAGAAGAGATGAGTGGTCACAGCCTCTGGGCCGTACTCCAGCACAGCGCAGTTTTACAGGAGCCTCGGGACACACACACAGGTCCTTGGGCCAAAATGTCCGTGCTCAGCAAGTCCCCTGGCTGACTGCATCCCCCTCTCGAGAACCTGCAGCGTGGAGGTCGTGCCCGTGTGCAGTGCAGAGCTCATCAGCGGTCACTGTGCTTTATCACATGTGTGGCCACCGTTGGAAGAGCTATTTTTGAGCAGCTAAATCACAAACTGCTGCCCTTTATTCCAAGTTCATTGTCAGAGCAGGAAATCATTGACTTTTGTAGGTAAGACCCCTTTTAGATATATTTTATGTAATGAAGCATTTATTGCTCCACCCAAGCATTTTGAATAATTGGATCGAGGTTGCCGAGCCAGGATTCAGCCCAGAGTGACAGTAGGGCTGTGTTAAGGGTGTGCGACATCTTGGATGCTGCAGTGAGAGCAGCAGTGGACAGACAGAACATCAGTTCACAGTCACTGTCAGAGCTGGGAGCGCTGGTCCAGAGGCCTGGAGCTACTGCCTTGTTTTGTCTCCAGCCCTCCTTGTACCATCTCTCTGACGTTGCCCTGCTTATATCACCTCTGTGATTACTTACATCTTTCCCCTCAAATCGACTCACCATTTCCACTTGCTTTTATTTTAGAAGGAAGAGATATTATTTTGCCCTGCTTATGTCACCTCTGTGATTACTTACATCTTTCCCCTCAAATCGACTCACCATTTCCACTTGCCTTTACTTTAAAAGGAAAGGTTATAATCGGTCCTGTCACTGGCAAAGCGGTGTCAGAATATAAAAAGTTCCCCATAAAAGTAAATGAGTGACCATCACACTGTTCCATTCGGTGGATGCGGCACTGACTCGATCTCATGCACCTGCTCTGATTCCTGAGCTGCCAAGTGCTGGGCTGCCCTTCACCTTCTCCCGAGCGAGCTGCTGGGAACTCGAGTTCTCTCTGCCTTTGCTGCTGTCTGCACATCTCCTCCTCTCTGCTCCACATGCTGACTTCATACAGTGGATGCTTGTCTGGTCCATTGAACAAGACTCAAAGCCAAATTTTCCCAATTTCAAGTGATAAGAGATGGGTGCTTCAAACTTCACGGTGAGTGCAGACACTGAATGGCTGGGGGGGTAAGATGGTAGGTCCCGGGAGAGTGTGGAAGGAGCAGGAATCCCAACAGTGGGCGTGGCTCTGGGCACAGAGTCCTCAAGCGGCCTGGAGCCAGACTCTGGTCAAAACAGACTTGTCCTAATGCTCCTAGAACTACAACCGCATGCATTTCACGTGTATTTGCGGAGCCCATCCCCTGACTTACTATGAGTGAGTTGAAGGTCTTTTAGGGGTTTTTCACTAATTCTTTTTTCTTCAATTACCTTTGACTAGGGGTTTTTCCCTAATTTTTTTTCTTCAATTACCTTTGACAAGAGTATATGTTCATGGTAGAAAATTCAGAGATTGCCGAAAAGCACAAAATACAAGGTAAAACTGACTTTGTGGTCAAAATCACCATGCAGAGATGAGGATTTTCTCCCAGCTGCTCAGGGCTCACCCTCTGAGCCATGGTTAGAACAAGAGCTGGCCACCTAGGGCCTCAGCACAGGTCTGCAGCCTGGGGTCCCATTCAGACCACTGCCCGTGAGGAATGCGGCCCCACTTTGACCCAGGGCTCCGTGTTCCCTGCTGCCTCTGCTTCTAGGCCTTGGTGGGATCGCCCCACCTTGGCATGGGATGTTGCAGTCCCATTTGTCACTGTCCTTCTTTACCCCAGGCCCTGGGGACCCAATACCAAAGAGAGGGCCCCCCCACAGAGGCAGCCTTGACCGCACAGGTGGCTCCGCTGAACCAGCCACCAAGCCCTAGCCATCCTGACCAAGGGCGCTGTGTGTGTTGGGGTGATGCTAGACTGTGAACAGGCCGAGTAGGAGTGGAAATTTTGGTCCTGGCATCGTGGCCTGCACAGGGGACATCTGGGGAGACGGGTAGGGACAGGGAGGGCTCTCTGAGGACACTCCTCCCCTCACGCCTGCCTTTCAGTTCTTCCTCTCTTCTCTGGAGGACACTACCCCAGTTGCCGGGATGACGTGCTAAGTGCCCTCTTCAGAAAGCCCCCCATCTCCCGATAATCAGAGGCCAGCCAGGCCTACCTGCCAGGAGAGAAGGGGCAGGATGCCCGCCAGCTTGGGGCACCCTCAGGATAACTGTCCATCCCTCTGAGGGGAAGCTGTCTGTAATACTCTTGACTCCAGACACTTTCTGCACTTTGGGAAACAATGGGTGGTAGGGATGCTGGAGGAGTTCATTGCTCAGGACTCTCCACACAGCTCAGCACTGGCAGCCGCAGCACAGCGGACAAGAAAGGGGCTGAATCAGCAGAGTCCATGGACTGGCTGTGGGAGAGAGAAAGTTACGCTGGAGAATACAGGAAGAGAGGACATCACTTAGGACCTTAAGCGAGATGTGAAGGTCTTACCTACAGATGCTACAAGTACAAAAACTTCCAGCATCACAACACAGAAGTCTCTGAGCCTCAACAAGGAGCCCCCACTCCTGATAGAAGGCAATGGCCACGTGGTCAAAGTTCGTATCCTGTGGTAATGGGGACAATCAGTTCTTGATCAGCTTGTCTCCTAAAATTTTATTTGCATCATACTCCCCACCCTCCACATCCAGTGGCTCCCTCTACTCCCCACATCAGAAAAGACACCAGGGTTTGGTCTCATCAAAGTCACTTTCTTCTTTCATTTCACCCTTTCGCCCCACCCCAGAGTGCAAAGGCCATCACTTTGCAGTACCTGCTCCACATAGTTCTTTGAAACACACTTCTCTCACAGGGTTTCAATCTCAGAGGCACATGTTCAGAGATAACAGAAATCTGCTGTTGTGAGGATCAGTTGTTTCCTAATCACCTTCTTTTCCAAAATTATAGTTCACCACCTCCATAATCTATTTGTGTTACCCTTCTCCCTTACCCACCCAGGTGGAGATTTTCAAGACTGAGTGACACTGATGTATGCTATCTCGTCCTATGGATCACTCTAACAGTCCTAAATAACAGTCAGGTAGGTAGATAAATGACATCTATGCTCTGTACCTGGCATGTAGCACCACCTACTGACTCCATACAGAAGAATAAACTCAAAATGAATAAAAGACTTAAATGTAAGGCAGGAAACCATAAAAATCTTAGGATCTTAGAAGAATCCATACGCAGGAAAATCTCAGACAATTCTCATAGCAATATGTTTACGGATACATCTCCTAGGAAAGTGGAAACTAAGGAGAAAATAA